GCTTAATTATAAAGTATTTGTTTCTTACTTAATTTTCAATAAATTTGTTAAAGAAATTATCTAGTTTTAGTTTTCTGGTAATCAAAGATAATGGCTCACTCCTACCATTTGCTTGGTTCACTCCTACCCATGCATGGGTAGAAGTGAACCAGTAGCAACACCTGGGTTATTGTTCAAGTTATCAAAAATCTAAAGATATTTTGATATTTCTTGGACTACTATTAGAAACCTAATACTTTAGGCTACCTTAGGCTCCTTATCCTATACTTTTTCCACTTTTGGTTTCCTTGATATAATCGATTTAAAAAAAAGTGGCTCACTCCTACCCATCTTCCCCTACTCAGCTTTGTTTTAATTTTCACATGCACAATTTTCATGTTTATTATCGTTCAGAGAATTTTTTTATATCCTTCATTAAATGTTTACATATATGCCGCTTACATTTTTAAGGTTTTTGTGCAACGTTCTTTTTCGCTATCATATATATTATTCAATTATTGTTATGATTTTGGGTTTCGTGGGTTGCTCATTTTCCTACACTTTTGATTGGTTATCATATTTTGAATGAGGTATCTATGACAGCGTTAGAGTTTATTAAGGCTATTGTTGTTTTGTTGATTAAATTTTTTTTTTAATGAAGTATACTGCTTTCTGATTATCTTGGGCTTGTTTAAAACAAATTTATTAATATTTTTATGTTTCTATTAGAATTTTAATTTATTTTGTTTTCATGTTTTCTTTTGGTGGTATGGTAAGTGTTTTATTTAGTTATTTTTATTTTTGTTTGTTCAGTAGATCTACACTTTTTATATCATATCATCAAAAAAATATTGGTGCTTTACAAATTTGGGGTTGGTTGGGTTTTGGCTATTTGTAGTGAGTCCTTTTTTACTGCAGCATGGAATAGGCGTAAGTCGCGGGGTAAAGCATAAGTGGCGATGACGTTTGTCTGACGGCATAAACTAGTTATAAGTGCTAATCCTCATCGAAACGCCAGTAATAATAGACGCGACTCTGAGGAAATGTTTAGGGTAGATTAGGGTAATATGAGCACCTTAAGCAAAAATTGAAATATTTTCAAAAATAAATATGCTGGATCCAAAATTTTTGCAAATAAACAAATTTTAGGGATCCTTATTCATAATCTATTTAGATATTTGGGCACTTGACATTTTTTCTTAAAAACACAAAGGTTTTAAAAAAGTAGCAAAAGTGCTCGTATTACCCTTACCCCTTGGTAATATGAGCACTTTAAATTAGCTCAAAAAAATTGCATTAATTAAGTAAAAAAAGACCAACCTGCTTAATAGAACTAATTGTTGGAATATAAGGATTCGTAATTAACAAAACATATCATTAAAAGATCAAAATTTAAGCTACATTTTGTTGAAACAATACTCTATGTTTTCCGCCAAAAAATAAATAAATAATTAAACCTTGTTTTTTCAATTTTGTTAACTCAAACCTTTGAACAATAAAAATTAAAATTTTTTAGATTTAAGTTACAGAAAAATATTTAGTATTGTTAATATATTAAAATTTTTTACTATGTTTTGTTTTTATTCAAGAAGCAATTAAAAACCACTGCTATTTTAGGACTTTAAACTAAGCAATTTCAATGAAAAGCACTGGGTAATTTGAGCATGCTCATATTACACAAAAATGGTATCTTTAAATAAAGTCAAAAATAAATGTTCCTATGCATTATTTTTCAAACAAAAATGAATTGGATTTTTAGCTAATATATTTTTCTTTATGAAAAAATTAATTTCATTATTTTAGCACCAAAATATCGCGCCACAGAATTATTCACGCGTGATGATTTTTTTTAACAAAGCAAAAAATTTAAAAGCGTTCTAATTAGATGATATCCGCTAATTACTGCGTATAAATTTACGCTAATTGTACTGATTCCTGTTATCACCACATAAAGTCAATTCGAAAAACATAAAGCAACTTTAACTTCACTGCTTACATCTGATAAATCTTTATGTATGCTCATATTACCAAGGTGCTCAGATTATTCTAATCTCCCCAACTCCCCAGGATATAATCTCAGATTACCCTAATCTCCCCAACTCCCCAGGATATAATCTCAGATTACCCTAATCTCCCTAATCCTCCCATTACTTTATCACTACACAAATTATGTTTACACATTAACATTAATGTTTTTTTTTTCCATTATTAGGCCTTATATTGTTGTTAGCATATTTTTTATTTTGTGATTGGTTTTTTGTTTTATAAATTTTAGTCTGGTGATGTACTTCATTTGTTTCCTCAGGCGTTCACTGCTCATGTGTGACCATTTGGCGAATTTTATATGCCAAAATTTTTAAATAACAATTGAACTCCTAATTTGTATAAAAAACGATTCAAAGAAGCGATTCTTTAATTTTATGAATAATGTTAAAAAACTTCAAAACTTTCTTGAATGTAAACTTAATGAAGAAGACTATATTAAATTAGAACAATTACTAAAAAATCAAGGGAAAGTATGTTTATTAAATCAAAAGAACGATTAATAAAAAAGTTAGAATTATTAGAAGATTTAAATTAGAAGATTTCTTTCAAAACTAAATAAAAAACAGCGTTTTTCTAAAAAGGAATACGAAAAAATATATCTTTTTATAAAAAATATAAAAAGATAAAATATATCCAAGTGTTCCTATCCCACCTTGAATGTATGAAGCATTAAAAGCTCTTAAACCAGAAAAATTGTACCCTATGAGAAAATTATTTCTACCATTGGCACACCAAACCACGGAATATCAGAATTCTTAGTTAAGACAATACAACCAGTCTTAAATGAAAATCCGACACAATTAAAAAACTCTTTTGACTTATAAAAAAAGCAGAAAAAATTGGAATGTCGCCAACAATATTCAAGTGTTTAATGATGTTGTAAAAAAAGAAGCCACCGTTTTAGAACAGTTAAATAACAGTATAACATATAAAAACTTAAGAAAACTAAGTATACCTGAAATAAAACAACTCATAGAGCTTTGCTAATACCAATGTTATTTTCATTGGAACAATGAGATTCGCGTAATGGAAAACTCAAGACCAATCGCATTTTCTTTCATGGTTGTTCCGCGGAATCTTTTCTACTATTCCATGAAAATAATGCAATTAAAATGGCTTTGAAAATAAATCCTGCATTTAATCAAAAATCATTTTAAAGATACGTTAACGATAGTCATGCAAGATTTCCTAACATCAAACAAGCAAAACAGTTCCAAGATATTTTAAATCAACAACATCCTGCGATACAATACACAGTTGAAGTTGAAAAGGAGACAAAAACGCTTAACTTTCTTGATATAACCATTACAAATAATACACTAGGAAAATATGAGTACAAAGTATATTGAAAAGAGGCAATCACTAACATTCAAATTAAACCGCATTCAAATCACGATCCGAATATTTTAACAGCTATATTTAAAGGTTTTCTCCACAGAGTTTACTCCATCTGTAATATACATCATTTGCAAAACGAAATAAATTTTTTAACTGACATGTTTATTGAAAATGGGTACGATGAAAAGGTATTGAGGAATATTACACACCAATTTCATCAAAAAAGAAAAAAGTAATAACACAATTCCATCAGAATGCAATAATCTTCCTGTAGTGTCTTTACCATGGGTAAAGACACTACAGGAAGGGTACATGGTACCAGGCCTTTCACCAAAACTTCAAAAAATATTCTGAAAAGCAGGGTACAGAGCAGTATTTAAATCAAACCCAAATTTAAGATCTTTATTAACATCAAAAAAACAAATCAAAACTACCCAGCCTGGAACCTTTATAATAAAATGCAACTGCTCTAAAGTTTACATAGGTGAAACAAAAATGCAGGTAAATACGCAGATGCATCAACATTAGAAGAGCATTAATGAAAACAAACCTAATCAGTCTGCATTAGCATTTTATAAAACCTTCTGCAAAGAAAATAGTATTTTGGAAAAAACATGAACGTTAAAGGTAAAAAATAAAAATTTATTTTTATTTTAGCTGGTACCAAATATTAGTATGTATAACAGCCAAAACAGTAGCAGACTTTTTATCATTAAAAAAAACCTAAAAAATTTTTATTTTTTCAGTATTGTTAAAAATTTGACAAAAAAAATAAATAAATAAATTTTATAAAAATATATATATATTTTCCCATGTAAATGCTATGAGCCAACTTACCCCAAAAGCCTTTTTTTCAATTAATAGTCTATAGATCCTGAAAAAGACAACTTTGAAAAAAAGTCTGACTGGAAATAGTAAACTAATTGTGACTGGAACTTTTACAATAATTTTTATTTCATAAGACTATTTTCTTTATAAAGTAAATAGGAAGCGATGTTCCAAAAATTACGTTTTTGTCCAAAAAACACATAAATTCTAATATCTCCCATGCGCATGCGCGAATCCTAACAGTACTATAGTGAATGATGAAGTGGTCAATTAGGAAGGTTCTTGTCACTTTCTGATGAAAGGCTCCGAAGATAAACAGTTCGCCAACTTACCCCTGCTGCCAACTAGCCCCGGTCTCCACTAACATATTTCATACTGCTTTCTGGCTTTAAAAATTTTTTTCAGAAATCATAGAGTTTTTCTAGTACTTAAATTTTTATCACTGGAATAAATTGATAACATGCTTCAGATAAATGTAACAAAACAGATCCTTTTTTGGGAGATGAATTTTTTAACCAATCATTTCAGTTATTTTGATTTATCATATTTGATATTAAATCATAATTTTTTGTAATATAAACAAAAATTTTCTTTTAGTTTCGCTTGAATGGGTTCTATAATAGAAAATTTGAAGTTTACCTTTAAGTGTTTGTTTGTTGTCCATTTGTTAAATTCGCAAGAATCGCACTTGTTTCTCAAAAAGATAATCATTTGTGATGTTTCATATGTTTCATTTTGGATGTTTCAAAAAAAAAAAATTATTTATTTGAAAAAATAAATTATTATAAAAATAATTTCAAACCAAACAATAAATTATTCCAGATTTTTTTTTTTTTTTTTTTTTAAATCGTTCACTGTTGAATTGATATCTTGTTGAATGATAAAATGTCTCGATTAAACAGGACGTCGCACAATATCTTAAAACGAAGAGTTATTTAGATTCAACGCATTATTTAACTGTCATGAAAACGATGTTCTTTTCACCATTTACAACTCGAATTTTTCATTTTTCAGCATCAAATGCAATTTTTAAACAAAAGCATCAAACACCATTTGACGTGGTCACAAGTAAAGGTTTAGGGCTATTTCTTTTAGTCTCTGTCGAGGGATCGTGATTTTCTTTAAGTTCTTCCGGCCTTTTACGCATCAAATATTTAGGATCAATAACTTCTTCATTAACAACAGGAGTTGACATTTGTTTTTGTCGTAAAGTTTGAACTTGTGGAAATTGAACTTGTGGAACTATAGGACTTATTCCATCAGATTGAAATTGAGGCTTTTTCAAAATAGGTCGATAATGGATCTGTAAATATATACAGTTAAAATAAGTACTTCGTAGAGTCTGAGTTTTAGAGTACATAGCATTAGTACCTAGACAATATAAAAAATAAAGCATATGACTAATTTTTTTTGTTGGATGACAAACTTTTTTTTACAACTTGTATGTCACTAAAAAGTCATTGCCTTTTTATTAATTAAATCTTATTAAGAATTTAAAAAAAAAAAAAAAATTTTTTAATTTTTTTTTTCTACTTTCTCAAAACAACTGTTACTCAACTATTTTAATATTTTAAATCGATGTTCAATCATCATCAAAATGCTGATTGAATATCGGAAAAATAACATTCAATAACTGCAAAAGTAGTAGAATATATATGTGAGAAAGTGGTACACTTTTTTTTATCTCCTGGGTTTGAGTGAAATAACTTAATCATATACATTATCAGCATGTCATTACCAACAATTCATGTACACATGCTCATTAATCATAAAATTGTTCACCAATAATATCATAAAAATGTTCAAAACGAAAAGTAAGGTATATAAAATATTTTGAATTAATTAAATTTTGTAGGAAAAGTAATAATAATAACGAGGTTGTTGTTCTTGTATATATCGATCAAATTTGAAAAAGCAGAAATGTTAGTTGAATGATTATGAGAAATTACACTATGGATATGAAAACCATTTTCGTGTAGAGATGTAATGGACTGATCAGCATGGTCAGCAAGCCATTTACTCTCAATCTTAACTTGGTGTAGCATTTGCTATACCAGAAGTTAAGAGCTAAATTTCTTTTTTAAAGAAACAATTAAGAATATTACATCTTTATATAAAATTACTTTATAATCTACTCCTACCATTTTACTACCTTAATATTGTTGTTCTATATGCAAGAATATTTTATCTATTAGTACTAATAAATCTTTATCAATTTTGTTTTAATAAACATTTTATAAATTTTAATGGTTCAACGCTATCTTTTTTTTAAATAATTGTAAAGGAAACTGTTCTTACAAGAATTTATATGCCTTTGTTGATATATATTGAAGAAGAAGCAAGTAAGATAACACAACCGATGAAATTTTGGTTGATCAAACGGTATTTCAAAATAATGGAGGCGATGAAGCATACGATGATATAGGAAATAATGCAGCATGTATAAACTGCATGTATTTACAGTGAACTTTTCTGTGCATACAGTGAAGAGAAAAATGAAAGGTTTCATCAGGACATTTGTGCAATGGAGAGTCAATACCAATATCAATGGAATGTGAAAATGGTAGCCGATTATTGCTAGACATTGAAACATAATCCTGGTGCTACTAATAAACAAAAATCACTGAAAAGACAATTCACAAAATCATAGATAATTTGATTGATTGACTTTTTTCTATACTATTAAATGTTGAAGTGCAAACCCAATCTTGACATTATTTACATGTCTGTAGTTTTAACATAACAAATATTTAATTTTTCAGTGTAAATAAAATTCAAAAATTAATTAACATTTTTTTTTTCATAAAAAGCTTCCTCTCTCCATAATATTTTTTTCATCTTTTAAGCTTTTTTCTTGTCTTTTATCATAAGAAAAACTAAAAAAAATAAATAACGATAAATGACAAATATGCAACCCTGAAGTGGCTGATGCCAGGATCTCCAGGCAAAACTTCTACTAAATTCTACTACATGTTTTTAAATTCAGGTTCAAGATCATTACAATCACCCTGCTATTGGTATCATGTAACCCAGTACTACAGTCCCATGCCTTATTGCTTTGTAAGGTTTGCTTTTTTAGGCAAAGGCAAGAAGAAATAAACTCAGACTTAAAAATTCCTTGCCTTGGGGCTCTTGGTTAAGTAAAGGCTAGAAATGGTGTCTAGATAAATATACTCATATTGGACAGATATTAACTGCATCCAGCTGCTGTCTTGTAGAAAGCCTCCTAGGCAAAGACTTTAGGGGTGAGCAGAATAATTCTACTAATCAGCCTCGAACTTCTTCTTTGTCTATTAGGCTGGCATATATTCAAATCTGTGTTATATTGTTTTCTTCCTAGGATGATGAATGGTGGATCTTCTTGACTCTACTCATAGATTTTTGCTTGTGCCTCCATGGCTATGTAACTCTTCCTTTTATCTTCAAAAGAGGGCACAGCTTAAAACTCAGTTTAATGGTTCTGAGACCAGCTGGTGGTAAAGTTTCCAAAACTTTGTGGTAGCTCTCAGAGAGGCTGATTCCATCAACAACTGAAAAATATCAGAGTACTAACAGTGCCATATTGTGCAAGGATGATGTCCCTGTTAATGCTTTTGGTGCACATTGTCGAGGCCACATAAGAAGCCCTATGTTACAACTTAGGGTTAGTTAACAGAACTGAGACAACTGCATTTAGGAGGCCATGCTTTATCTACTGCATTTAGGAGGCCATGCTTTATCTATGAACGAATTAAGTTCTCTTTAAAATTGAACAAATCAGGCCTAAAATAACCCAAAATATTAAACATACCATAAATGGTTAAAAACCACCCCTCCACCTATCTGTGTTAATGTATCTTTTAATAATATTCGTGGCCTGCAAAGCAACTTTCCATCAGTTGAATTTTACCTCTCGCAAAATTCACCAGACTTGCTTGCTCTTAGTGAGGCTAATTTAAATAGCACTAATCAAGGTACTTCACTAGGTAATCAACACTCAGATCTGATGAAGGATCTGAGTGTTGATACCTTGATTTGCAAAGACTCCAATAGTCACATGCTTGACTTGGGGGTATATATATGCATCAATTCACCTATTTGTTGTGAAATTAGGTTCAAATCCTTTGACCATTCTTTTATGTGCTTCCCCTAGCATCTCTTCATTCTATCAACTTTCTCTTTGTTCTTTATCATTCTCCTTCTTCCCAAGAATGCACTCTTTTAGATGTAATTTCAAATTGACCATGCCCTCTCTCTTTACCGTTCTGCCAATATTGTTGTTATTGGTGATTTTAATGCTCATCACACTGAATAGCTTGGCTTCAACACCACTGACCCAGCTGGCACTAAAGCCTCTAACTTCTGCATTACTCAATCTCTTACTCAGATAGTTAACTTTGTGACTCCTTTTCCTGACAACCCTAATCATTTGCCTTCACTTCTTGATTTATGTCTTGTCTCTGATCCTAACTTGTGATCAGCTTCTCCCTTTTCTCCCTTAGGTGGTTCTGACCATTCAAAAATCTCTATAAATCTTTCATCTCAAACTTCTTTTTCGGACTCACTTTATCACCACACTGATGTCTGATGACTGATGTCTTTTCTCTCTCAGCTGATAAATGCACCTCCTAAGTAACCTCCTGGATTCAGACAGAAATGGAAGTTTTTATCCCTTTTTGTTGGTTCTAAGTCAAGCCTTATTCTACTCCATGGTATTTACCTTCTTGTGCAGCTGCTATATCTAATTGTAATATTAATTTTTTTCATCTTTTTTAAATTAACAACGTTTGAGAACAAAGGGCTATTTATTATTGCTAGAAATCTATGCAAAAAAAGATCAAATCATTTTGTTCGAACCGCTTCATTAAAGTCATCCTTGAAGGTTAACACTCTTCTTCATTTCCAGTAAATCCTGGGGTACCTCGTGGTTCTGTATTTGGTCTTGTTTTGTTTCTTATCTATATTAATGATCTTCCAAACAACCTTACATCTAAAGTAGCTGATGACTACTTTATACTGACAAAAAGAATGAATAATCAGAATTGAGATCAGGTTTAATCCTTGAATCTGATCTCACTTCTGTAACAGATTGGGGTTTGCAGTGTCTTGTAAACTTTAACTTCAACAAAATCCAGTTATTTACTGCAAACAACTATCTTAGTACTGTTTGCATTCCTATATAAATGAATGGCAACCCCCTCACTGAGCCCCTTTATGTCTTCTTGGATTATCATTTATTGCAGACCTTTCATGGAAACCATATATAAAATCGATTGCTAAGGTTGCTTCTCTTTATCAAGCTTGCCATTTTTTTACTCCTGATTCCACTTTCTACTTCTACAAATCTCTTATTTGTCTCTGTATGGAATACTGTTGCCATATTTGGGCTGGTTCTTTTTATGATGCTCTTTCTTTTCTAGACAAGGTCTGAAAATGCATTGTAAACGTAGTTAGACCTGCTCTATCTGCTAAGCTCGATAGAGCAAAACTCATTCTCACTTAACTTGTCTCATTATTTTACTCACTCTTTTTTATTTTTTTATTCTGATTCACTCTCAACAAGGCTGCTAGCAACCACCATTAAGTTAAAAGTTACTAGAAAATAAAGAAAAGAGTTACATAGCAAGGAAAAGAAAAAATGGAAAATCTGTTCCTGCATGCTCTAAAAACTTTTATTCACCCAATTTTTTTCCACCTTTTGGAACTCTTTTCCATCTTCATGTTTTTCTGACTCATACAAAATTCAACTTTTCAAGTCTTCTGTCAGCTGTTTTTTTGCTCTATAAGTCTATTCTTTTTTTCTAGTAACTCCCAACTTAATAGAACTTGCTTGCAGCCTTGGAGGGAGTGAATCAATATATATATATATATATATATATATATATATATATATATATATATATATATATATATATATATATATATATATATATATATATATATATAAATCATCTGAGTGTGATAAATTTTTTTTTTATTTTTTTGCTTCTTTTCAATTCTTTTGTGAAATGTTAAATAGTAACATCAAAATTTAATACTCTTTTTTTAATAAGTTGTCAGACATGAAAAAAAAAGTAGTAAGGTTCAACCAGATTAACCAGAAGCAGCCTCGAAGTGACTTGTTAATAATCACAAAATATAACAAGGATAAGAAGTCCTAAAAACCTGAGAAACCAAAAAAAAAAAAAAAAATAATCTATTGTTATGTTACAGAAACAATACCAACTTAACATAGTAGAGAAAAGAAAAAAATTTCTTTTGTCAGAAAAAAAATATATAAAAAATTTGGTAGCAAAGTAGATACAAATTTTAATTTTTAAATTTTGAAAAGTGGGAAAGGTTAGGTAGCAGTTTCTGGTTGCCAATGGAGCTGAGGTAGCGCTAGTGCTTTCTAAAACTTGGTAGTGACACCCAGCTTTGATTGTTTTAACAAATTGTGATACCTACTCACAAAACTCACACAATCAAAGAATGGATTGAAAAAAAAAAAAATTTAATACTCTGGCTGACACAATCACCATATTTAGATCCAATCAAATCTTTTAAGATTTTAAAAAATAAACTTTTTAAAGTTAAAAAGATAAAGTTTTTAATTATTTTTAAGCAAGTACTAGATATCCTATTCCAAAGCAAGTATTAGATACCCTATTTCAAAGCAAGTATTAGATACCCTATCCCAAAGCAAATACTAGATAATTTTTTTGTTTTTTAATTTTTCTACCAAAATATCAAAAAACATTTTTCATCTAAATACTGGAAGTTGAACAAGAATTAATAAATACAAATTATATAAAAAAGAAAATGTATTAGCTACTGTCTTCTCAAAAAATAATTAAATGTTTACCTGATTGTATGATTGTATATTAGTGTTATAAGGTTGTATATACTGACCAGATTGAAATGTACTTGGACTCTGAATAGTTAAAAAAAAATCAGAAAAACTTAAAACAGAAGAAGTCACCCTATATTTTACTAAAATAAAAGGTAAGAACTAAAACTAAAACTCAAGTCTCCACCTCATGGTCTTTCTTACAAAACTATACAAGAAATGAAATGAAATAATACAAGCACAACTCGGTCTTTTCTATTTAGTTTTGTGATATAGAGTTTATTTTTGGACAAGGTAAAAACTTTTAAACTTTTAAGTTTAATGATAAAGAGTGTTTAATCAAATTTATAAATGATTTTGAATTCTTTAAAACTTATAAATGACACAACTTTTTTTTTTTTTTTAATTATCTTCGCTTCCAACAAGGTTGCAAGCAACCGCTAATTAGTGTTGGAAGTTACTGGAAGAGAAAAGATGAAGATTGTAGAGCAAGATAACGATTGACAGACGACTTAAAAGATTGCAAATTATATGAATCAGGAAAGCAAGATGAAGGAAGCGAATTCAAAAAGAACTGATGTTCGAGGAAAAAAACTAGACGAATAAGAGTTTTTGGAGCACTTAGGAACAGTAACAGAAAAAGGATGAGACTTAATTGAATGACCAGTAACACGAGAATGAATTTTAGTAGATGGCACAAGAGACGCTAGCTCTTTAGAGCAGTGCCCATTATAGTATTTGTAGAAAAGAGAAAGAGAAGCAACATTACAACGATGTGACAGAGGTTGAAGGTTGGCTGCAAGAGCAGGTCCAACTATGTTTACAATGCGTTTTTGCACCTTGTCTAAAAGAGAAAGGGCATCATTAGAAGATCCACCCCAGATATGGCAACAGTATTCCATACAAGGCCGGATTTGAGATTTATAGAGATAGAGAATAGAATCCAGAGTAAGAAAGTGACAAGCTTGATAAAGAGAAGCAACTTTAGCAGATGCTAATTTTGCAACGGATTTGATATAAGGTTTCCAAGAAAGATCAGAAGTAAGAGTATCTTAATGCTAGAAGATGAAGGGTAGGAGACTCATCGAGTACATTACTGTTCATAAATATAGGAAGGTCTAAATTATTGCGATAACGATTGGCTGAAAAAAATTGAGTTTTATCTGAATTAAAGTTCACCAGCCACTGTGAATCCCATGCTGTAGCAGAAGTGAGATCCTTTTCAAGCTCAGATGCCCCCTGCAAGCAATCAGAGGGAGTTGGCTTCTTATCGTGACAAGAATAAATGGTAGCATCATCAGCGAACAATGCCACCTTAGATGTGAGAATATCTGGAAGATCGTTAATGTAAATTAAAAAGAGTATAGGGCCAAGGATTGAACCTTGGGGAACCCCTGAGGTTACAGAATAAGAAGAAGAGTGCTGTCCATCAAGGACAACTTTTATACTACGATTGGAAAGAAAGGATTTTTCTAGATACACCGTAAGAAAGCTTATGGAGGAGACCAGCATGCCAAACTTTATCAAACGCTTTAGAAATGTCAAGAGCAATGGCCTTAACCTCTCCACCTTTATCTAATGCGCTATAAAATCTATCGGTTATTACTGAAGCAAATCAGCCGTAGAAAGAGAAGATCGAAATCCATATTGATGATCAGAAAGTAGGTTATGAAATTCGAGATGAGAGATTAAGTGTTTGTTAATTAAAGATTCAAAAACCTTGCTTATGATAGGAAGAAGACTAATGGGACGGTAGTTAGATGAATCAGATCGCTCTCCAGAATTTTTAAAAATAGGGATAACAGATGCTGCTTTCCAGCAGGCTGGAAAACAAGACTCTGATAAGCACTTGTTAAATAGTTTTGAAAGGATAGACGACAGCTCCGGAGAACACTTCTGCAAGACTATAACAGGTATGTTGTCCAGGCCGCAAGCTGTAGAAGAGTCTAAGCGAGAAATCACTTTAGATACAGAAGCTGGAGTGATACGAATGTCAAGTAATGGATCAACCTGTTTGACGGGTATATCAAGTAGAGCGCAACTAGTGGCATCAAGATTGATGAAAAGTTCTTGGCAAACAATTCAACTTTGTCTTTAGGTGAGGTGACAAAGTCTGAACCGTACAAAAGAGGTGGAATTACAGATTACAATAATTATAATAATCTTACAGATAAATAATAATAATTATAAATATAATAATATAAATAATAATCTTACAGATGCTCTTTCTTGATTGGTCATTCTATTACTTGAAACTAAAGTTGCATTATGGGTAGAAGATAGCTTGTTTATTGTGTGTTCATTCAGTTGACGATTTAACCAATTGATAACTAAAACAATTTTTAGATAATTATTAAACTTATTAAAAAATTTTAAATTTCAATCTTTAATTACTTAAATAATTAAACAGAAAATATTTTTATTTTATAAATAATCATTTTTCATAAAAACAATTTAAACTTAGATTAGGAATAAAGATAAGGAAAAATAAGAAAATAAAATCCTCTCACCATTTTCATTGTTTTTTAGTTCTTCTTGGCTCTCATTAAGTTTTTGATTTGTTTCTTCAAATTTTTTTTTCATCACTTTATTCTAGAAAAAATGTAATTAGATAATATTAACGAAAGAAAGACCTTTGTAGATATTTTGTATACAGACTTGTGTGTCATTTAATGAATATATGTAAAACACCCATGTATAAACAAAATAATATCCATAACACCCATGCATAAACACATACCAAAAAAAAAAAAAAAAAAATCAATTATTATAGGTTTGTTCCACTACCAACTAATTGTTATATGAAACAAATTGTTACAGGAATAACAATACTTAGAATATTATAAATATTCTAAACATTGAACCAAAAGGTGCTCTGACCTGTCTAAAATTAATAAGCTTGAAACTAAAAAGCACCATTCTAACTTTCTCTGCACATTATAAAGAAAAAACTTTTTAACATTGCAGCTTAACTGGGCACTTTATGAACAGAATACTAAGTGCGACTTCATATTATATTGATTTTTTTGTGTGAAATCAACAAAACAGTGTTTTTAATTAAGATTTATAGATTAATTAATTCTCTACCTTACTTCATGAATGATCTCTAATTGGAACGACCTCTGATTAAATTGAAATCTAATTAGAATGGCCACTAGTAGGATATGAAACATTTATTCTGTCAATTGTACATCATCATTTTCAAATTTTTTTGTAATAGCAATAAAAATAAACTTTTCGGTTATTATAGATTATTGAAGGAGCAAAGTATTAAACTTCAGAATCACTGAAGTGTTTTGGAGTGCTTGTAAATGTTTCACTCTTTATTTTATTGGTAGAACACTTCACCTCACTTTTTATGGTAATCTAACCCATCATTTTTCCACCATCACCACAGCCCACCATTCAAAATGTTCTTCATTAAGTTGAAAAATTTACAATTTACTTTTTTTATAAAAGAGTTAAACATTTTTTAAACATTCAATACATTTTATATTTTTTACTTTCATCCAAAATATTAAAAAAATGCTTGATTGTCTTTGCATTATAAGATAAATAACCCTCAAGATGATTTAATATGCTGAACTATATGACCAACATCTTCAGTTGAAAAAGAATGGGATCTGCATTCATGATACTCGCTCATATTTTGAGACTAACATAAAAAATAATTTTTTGATAAAACCTTAAAATAAATTATGATTACCCACTCAACATTAAAATTAATTCTATTATCAGGTTAATTAATTCCATTATCAGATTAATTAATTCCATTATCAAATTACATTAAAAAGATAAACCTGATATAACAAATAAATATATAATGTTTTATAAAATTAATGTAAACACATTTATGTTATATACATTTGCATATTTATGTATGTATGATAAATTTACATACATTTTATGTTATGTTTATTTTTTTAATGGTAACTTAATTCTTAATTTATTTTCAACTACTAAAAATGTAATAGGAAATGGGATTGTTTCTTTTCTTACCTTTAGAAAAAAGAATTATTTAAATTCTTATAAGATTTCCATTCACAACAAATATAGAAATGTTTTGATCAACAAAAAACTTTGTTTATATAATTCTTTTTATGCTTTTATCTAAATTTATTTATTATGAAATAGTTATACAAGGTTGATGTTAATTTAAAAATGTCTATGCAAGGTTGATGTTAATTTAAAAATATTTATACAAGGTCACTGTTTTTAGTAAACATGTAAATGTAGTCGAATGCTATCAATAAGTGTTCTGTAAAATGTAATAAAATATATTTAAAAAAATGTTAAAATATTAAATGGAAATAAATTGAAAACTATTGCAAATGTCTAAACAAAATTTAGATAAATATTAAAAAGAAAAAAATTTTTTTAAAGCATTAAACAAAATATATAAACTATATAAAATTATTTTCAATGTTGAACTAAATGCGGTAGTGGTGTAGTGGTAAAACACTTGCTTCATAAGCAAGAGGTTCCGAGTTCGATCCCCACCACGTCCCTGGTAGTAGCATGCTCAACTTGTTTCTCCGCAGCTTTGTTCGTCAAGGTTCGTGTTTCGGAGTTATAGAGTTGAGAGAGGGCTATAACCACTATTAAGTTGCCTCCTTGTCTGTAGTGGCCTTCTGGGCCTTGAGGAGGTGAATAACAAAACAAAAAAAAAAAAAAAAAAAAAAAAAAAAAAAAAAAAGATAAAATTTTCTTTTCAAAATTGTGACAAATGATGGCAGTAAATAGTCAAATAGTCGCAACACTGTAAACTAAAAACTTTTTCTTCTAAGTTTTTTGCTGCCTTATAGGATACGCTTTTTTAGGCAAAGGCTAGGAGAAGCCCACTCCAATTTAAAAAAGTTGAGTAAAGGTTAGAGATGGCGTTTTGATAAAAATACTCATATTGGGCAGATGTCAAAAGCATCTGGCTGCTGTCTTGTAGAAGGCCTCGAAGGCAAAGACTTAAGGAATAAACAGATTTTATCTGTTGACCAGTATCACACCCCTTCTCCATCTACTAAGCTGATGCAGATGTATTTATAATATATTGTTTCCAGTTTAGGATGTTGAATGCTAGATCTTTTTGACTCAATGAATGCGTTTTGCTTGTGTCTCTGTTTTTATGACTAGGCAACTCATTCTATTATCTCCTAATGAGGGTACAGCTCTAAAACTCAGTTTTACGGTTCTGAGGCCGGCTGGTAGTTAGGTTTCCTGAACTCTGTGGTAGCTCTCAGAGAGGCTGACTCCATTAACAGCTGTAGAATATCAAAGTATTAAAAGTGCCATGTTGTGCATGGATGTTGTCTCTTTTTGTATGTTTGGTGTGCATTGGCGAGGCCACATTTGGAGCCCTTTATTACGGCTTAGGGTTTATTAACAGTAATGAGGCAATTGCTTAGACTATTAAGAAGTGTACTAAGAACTATCTGTGCTTTGAGTTCTATCAATGAGTCAAGTTTAGAATTAAGTTCTAGCTTTGAGTCATGTTTTTTAACAAATTTAAAAATGACTAAAGTACCAAAAGCTGTAAAACACAAAAAACCATTGTCATCACTAAGTTCTTTAAACCTATCATTCACTAGTATTTGTAGTCTTTATAGTAACTTTTCTTCTGTTGAGTCTTATCTCTTGCAAAGATCACCAGAACTACTTGCTCTTTGTAAGACTAATTTGAGTTCAGCTGTCTCATCTTGTGATCTTAGTGTCAATGGTTATCTTCCTTCAATTTGTAAAGACTCCAATAGTCACATGCTTGGCCAGGGCATTTACATTTGTAAAAATTCACCCATTTGTCAGGAAACTAGATTTGAATCCACCGACTATTCTTTTATGTGCTTTCAATTAGCACCACTCCACTCTATCGCTTTTTTTCTTTAAGCTTGAAAAGGATCTCACTTCTGCAACAGCATGGGCCTCACAATAGCTGGTGAACTATAATCCAAATAAAACCCAATTTTTTTCAGCCAATCATTAATGCAATAATTTAGATCTTCCTATATTTATGAATGGTAATGCACTCAATGAGTCGTCTACCTTTCATCTTCTAGGATTAATTCTTACTTCTAATCTTTCTTAAAAACCATATATCAAATCGATTGCAAAATTAGCATCTGCTAAGGTTGCATCTCTTTATCATTTTTTTCTTCCCAGCTTGGTTTTTTAAAATTTTGAAAACTAAATTCAAGACTTTTTCTTTTTCAGGAAAAAAAAAGAAATGGAAATAGTTCAAAAAATATATTTCAAGTCCAAAACAAACAATGCATTTGCCATTACAAATGCACATCCGCTATAAACAAATAATTGTAACGGTTATATAGATAAATATAAATTAATTAAATGATAAAAGTGGATAACTAAATGATAAGTAGATGATAAAATTAAAAATTTTTGTTAAAACTTTTTAAATGTTGTCACCTCTTCTTTTACAGCACAAAGTTGAAGGTCAAAATCTTTAAGTTCTTTTTCTTTTTGTGAAACTATTATATCCTAAAAAAGAAAATGATTATATCCTATATAGAAAAAAACTGCATTCATTTTAGAATTTAATTACAAAAAAAAAAAAGTTTTTTTTTTTATTCATACCTTTTCTTCTATTAGTCTTTCTTGTTTTGTCATTACAACATTGATCATTTTCATCTAAAAAATTTGATTAACTAAGTTAACAAAACAATAAATTTTGTTTCCTTTTTTATAAAAAAAATTACACTGACCGATTAATAATAATTACATATAAATAATATACTATATAAATAACTATAAAAATATCAATCAAAATAATAGAGCCTACTTTTTTATAAACCCAATTTTAAAAAGCTTACAGAAATAATCCATAAATTTTAAAAACTTTTGAAAATAATTAATATTACAATGCCTCATTTTCTCATTCACTCCCACTCCATTTTTTCTTGCTAAATTAAAAGTAGAAGCAATAAATTAAATTTTTTTTCTTATAATTGTTAAATGAGATATAAGATAGATTGTAATGCAGTTGTACTATAATGAGATATAAGATAGATGGTAATGCAGTTGTACTATAATGAGATATAAGATAGATGGTAATGCAGTTGTACTATAATGAGATATAAGATAGATGGTAATGCAGTTGTACTATAATGAGATATAAGATAGATGGTAATGCAGTTGTACTATAATGAGATATAAGATAGATTGTAATGCAGTTGTACTATAATGAGATATAAGATAGATGGTAATGCAGTTCTACAATGCAACAATATTTTAGTCAATGTCTCATGTGTAAAAGATATGTGTTTTAAATGACAATTTTTTTTTAATCATTTCATTAATGTTGATGAAAATAAAAATTTGTCAACAAATTGTTAAATTCATTGTTATAACTTAAAATGAGGCATTCTATTACTATTCAATCAAGAGACAAATAAATTCACCATCAACTTATATAAGAGACTTTACCATCAACTTATATAAATTTATTTATTCTTTATATTCTATCAAGACTTAAAACATAAGTCTTACACAACTAAAATCTATTTGTATTGAATCTCCATTTCTTTATTAAAAAAGTCATGAAAAAAACTTATAAAAAATTTTTATACATGATAAAAACACTAGTTTTTAAAATTTGCAAAGTTTATAATACTTTGAAAATTTGCAATGTTAATGTTTTTAAAATTTGCAATGTTAATAATGCTTTGAAAATTTGCAATGTTGATGCTTTGAAAATTTGCAATGTTAACAATGCTTTGAAAATTTGCAATGTTAATGTTTTTAAAATTTGCAATGTTAAAGTTTTTAAAATTTACAATGTTAATAATGCTTTGAAAAATTGCAATGTTAATGTTTTTAAAATTTGCAATGTTAATAATGTTTTGAAAATTTGCACGAGAGTAAGCTTTAGTAGATGCTAGAGATGCTAACTCTTTAGAGCAGTGCCCATTATAGTATTGGTAGAAAAGAAAAAGAGAAGCAACATTACGATGATGTGGTAATGCTTGGAGGTCAGCTAAAACAACAGTTCCAACTATGTTTACAATGAGTCTTTACATCTTGTCTAAACAAGAAAGGGGATTATTGGAAGATCCGCCTCAGAATAGGCAACAGTATTCCATACAAGGACAGATTTGAGATTTATAGAGGTAAAGAATAGAATCTGGAGTAAGAAAGTGTTGAGCATGATAAAGAAATGCAAAATTAGCAGATGCTAATTTTGCAATGGAATCAAAAAAATACACAACAACATCTCAAAAATATACAACAACAACATCAAAAAAATTTATTGAAAACATGAATCAAAATAATAAGTAATCTTAATTCAAGTAAAATTAGGTTTTGTATAAAGATGACTTTTAAAAATAATTATTTGGATTTTTTTTTTTTATTACTTTTTATACTTTTTTATCATTTTGCATATAACAACTTTGTACCCATGCACAGTGCGCCAAAATAGCCAATTTTGAGGCAAAATTAATAACTAATTTAATATTAGTACTGTATTTACCAAATTTAGCTAGAATACTAAAGTGAGGTTGATGCTTTTTACGAAAGTGATATTTTTTATATTTAGTTGCTATGGATACCTAATTTTGCATAGCAACAACTTGTTTCTGGTAGTTAGAGATTTTTCATTTGTGCTACATACACTATATTTGACAAGTGTATTAATTTTGTCTTTGCTTCTTATAAAAGTGATTTTTTATATATGGTTTCTATGGTTACTTAATTTTGCAGAGCGAAATTAGGTGGTATATTACCTATGGTTTATTAATTTTGCACAGTAAAACTAATTAACCATAGCAATATATTTAATTAAAATTTATATTAGTTGAATAATTGTTTTACACATAAATTTATTACTTGTTTCCTAACAGCCCTAAATGCAATAAAACTATACATAATTTAGAATAAAACAAAACAAACAGAACTCATAACTTAGTTATATATTAGGACAACATAAAAGATTTAAAACTTAATAAAAAAGAGAAAAAATGATTTTTTTTCTTTTTGCTGTTTTTCTTTAACTAGACACAAATGGATCAGAAGTACACAACAGTTGTTTTATTACAATCTTTTGGATTTTGATTGATTATTTTTCTTGCATGGTCTTGGCGATAACTTTTAAAATTGTTATTACAAGCCTTTTGAGTTTCCTCTTACAAAAGACCAATAATAAAATATCATTTTTTCCAATAAAAAGTATCCATGTATTAATACTTTATACAGAATTTGAGACATTTAGTACCAGGAGTAAAACAAAATATCTGGCAGTTTTAAAACAATAATAAATACATTTTAAAATGTCTAATAATAAACCACTAAAAATTCAACAAAGTATAACATGCAATTTTACAATTAGCATTATATCAATTTCCATATTTTCACTAAACACGTTTTGATTTCAAAAATTTAAAAAAGCTATCATTAGCGTTTCCACTACCACCTGCTCATGGTGATCTACTATCAATCCAAGACGCTTTATCCAAAAACCTTTTCTGAATTAAACTTTTTTGCTTCATTACTGGATTCTAGGCTTCAAAAGATCGTGCTTGCCTAAATTTTATTTTTATTTTATATGCAATATGCAATAAGCATTTAAAACATCTTATCAAAGCTTGCAAGCTTCAAAGCATCTTATCCAAGCATGCAAGCTTGAAAGACTGGAGAATATGAGTAGAATGCTTTTTTTAATAACAATTTCAATTTCATTTATTTCTGAAGGGCTACATACACTATAACATGACTGACTAGAGTCAGTTGTGTTGGAAAAGTGTGTGCAACTTTTCATCAATTGTGATTTCGATATGTGCGGGGTCCCCTGCGATAGCTGCAGCAGGGAGTGTGCCAGTGCTGTGCCTGGATCTGGGGGTGGGGGGTGATCCTCTTTTAGAGGAGAAGAAAACCGAAGAGTTTATTTTCTATTTCCCTGTTTTTAATGAGTTGAATGGTTTATAAAAGGTAATTCATTAAAAGTATGATGATTAGGAAAGTTTTTAAAAATTTTAATTATTTGATCTTCTAAAAGAAAAAGAGTAAACTAATGGAAAGTTATTTGGTTCATGACCAGAATATAAGGGTTCGATTCCTTTCTCTTTATTTTTAAATTAGAACAATTTTCTTTTGATTATGGAGAAATAAAAGTATGAGAATCGTTTATACATGTTAGTGGAAGCAAATAAATGAGTAAAATAGGGTAATATCTGTTTTGTATCAGGCTAAAAATTTTAATATATTTTTATCCTAAGACACATAGCTTAAGCCATGCTTTTACTGAAACAAAGAAAAATTAAAAGCAGTAAAAAAATTTATACAATTAAAAAAATTTAGATATAAAGTAATCGTAAATTTTATCTAATTAAGTGCCAGCAGGTGATACTTAAGAAATAAATTTTTATAAAAAAATAGGTTAAATGTGTATAGAATTAAAATTGTAAAAGTAAGATTATTGATTTGGTAAAATATACAATAATTAAAAATTTCAGAAATTTTACGAAATAACTAGAAACTTGAATAAATGATAATTAAACAGGATTAGATACCCTGGCAATCTTTTTGTTAATAATTAATCTGAACAGTATACCTAAACAGGTGAAAACCAAATATTTTGGTAAGTCAAATATTGTGGCCTTTATGAAAAGGGATATTATGTACTACAATAAATATTATAATATAAATTTATATTTGGATAATCAATGTAAACTGATTTTAAAAAGAATTTAATAGTAATTAAAAATATAAGGTTGTAATGAATAAGTGCATAAAAGATAAAGTAAGTTGTAACATAGTGGGGGAAAGGGAACTTTACCCTGTGATTTATAATACAATCATGAATGAATTTTTCTTTTTTTTTTTCTATTTTAATAATTTTAGGGTGTTTAATGTGTATTAATTCTTTAAACCCCATTCATTCTGTTTTTTGATTAGTAACTGTATTTTTTTTTTCTTATGGTTTATTGATTAATTTAAACTTAGAATTTTTATCATTATTATTAATAATAAAATATGTAGGAGCTATAGTAATATTATTTTTATTTGTAATAATGATGTTAGATATAATCCAAATTAAAGATATAATCCAAATTAAAGATATAATCCAAATTAAAGATATAATCCAAATTAAAGATATAATCCAAATTAAAGATATAATAAAAAAAAAAAAAAAACTCTAATATAAATAATACAATTCCTATAATTTTAATTATCTTAACTTCATTAATAATACAAATTATTAACAAAGATGCATTTTTACCTTATCATTTAAACAATGATTTTCTAAATTTTAATTTAATAAATTATCATAATTTTCATAATCTAGCTTTGTTTTTTTATTCCAAATATTCTATAAATTTTATAATAATTAGTATTATTTTATCAATAGGAATGATAGGAGTAATTGTTTTACTTCAAATTCTAATTCAAAAAAACAAAAAATATTTATTCAACATTTAAGAAATAATTTATGAAATTAAATTTATTTATTTATCTATCTATTAATTTTCTTCTTAGTTTTATAGTTTTATTTTTTTCAATTTTTCTTTTAAATCACCCGATAAAGAAAAAGTTTCTATCTACGAATGTGGATTCAATCATTTTCATTCAACTGGCCAACTATTTTCTATAAGATTTTTTTCAATTGCTATTTTATTTTTAGTATTTGATTTATAGATAATTTATTTCCATGATCAGTAAATTCAAATTTAATAAACTATTATTCACAATCTATGATAAGTTATGAAGATTGTATTAGTTTAGTTGTTTTTTCTTGTATTTTATGTGCTGGAACTTTAAATATTTATTCATTGATAAACTCACAAAGTCAAAGTATTTCTTATATTTTTCCTTTATGACCTATAGCTATAATGTTTTTTCCTTTATGACCTATAGCTATAATGTTTTTTCCTTTATGACCTATAGCTATAATGTTTTTTCCTTTATGACCTATAGCTATAATGTTTTTTCCTTTATGACCTATAGCTATAATGTTTTTTCCTTTATGACCTATAGCTATAATGTTTTTTCCTTTATGACCTATAGCTATAATGTTTTTTCCTTTATGACCTATAGCTATAATGTTTTTTCCTTTATGACCTATAGCTATAATGTTTTTTCCTTTATGACCTATAGCTATAATGTTTTTTCCTTTATGACCTATAGCTATAATGTTTTTTCCTTTATGACCTATAGCTATAATGTTTTTTATATGTTTATTAGCAGAAACTGATAGAGCTCCTTTTGATTTAAGCGAAGCAGAATCAGAATTAGTTTCCGGTTATTTAAGCGAAGCAGAATCAGAATTAGTTTCCGGTTATAATCTAGAATATTCTTCAATGTCTTTTGCTTTATTTTTTCTAGCAGAATATTCTCACATAATATTTAGCAGTGCTTATTTTGTAATTTTATTTCTAGGGAATTGAAATAATTATTTTTTTATTAACAATTAAAAAAAAAAAAAAATGATTTTATTTGTATTTTTATTTATATGAGTAAGAACTTCTTTTCCTAGATTAAGATATGATCAATTAATGAGTTTATTATGAAAATCTTATTTTACCTTTGAGTTTATCATTTATTATTATAACAAACTCTTTATTATGAGCTTTTTGAGGTTTATCTAACAAATGATGTATATTATTTTTCTTTTATTAATTCCATTTTTAAGTATATTAAATATTTTACTAATTAAAAGAAATAATAATAATATTTTTAATATTTCTTTGTTTTGATATCATTATTTTATTTTATATATATATTTTTTTGAACTATAAAATTTTAAATTTTCAATTTAGTTCAAATTTTAATTGATTATTAATTAATTCAATTTTTATTAATTGAAATAATTTTATTCTTTCTATTGATGGTATATCTATATTTTTTATAGGTTTAAGTATTTTACTAATTCCTATATGTATATTAATTAGTATAAAATCAATAAAATATTTTAAAAAAGAATTTAATATATTCTTATTTATATTAGTTATTTTATTATTCGGAGTATTTTTTATTTTAGATATACTATAATTTTATATTTTATTTGAAAGTATATATAATACTGTTATATATGTTACTAGTATATATTTGATACCTGTTTTTATTATATGATTGGCATAGAGGGTATAGAAAAGAAAAAATTAAAGCTGCTTTTCATTTTTTTTTTAAAACTATAATAGGATCCTTATTAATGTTAATAAGTATATTTAGAGTATATTCTTTAACTGGAACTACTAATTACAAAAACTTATTAATTATAAAAATTCCGTATGATATTCAACTTTGATTGTTTATAGGATTTTTTATAGGTTTAGCTTTAAAAATACCAATGGTACCATTTCATATTTGACTTCCACAAGTTCATGTAGAAGCACCAATAGCAGGTTCAATTTTATTAGCAGGAATACTTTTAAAATTAGGGGGTTATGGATTAATTAGATTTTGTTATCCAATTTTCTCGTTAGCTTCCCAATTTTGCTATTCATTAATTATTATAGTAAGTATTATAGCTATAGTTTAATTGCTTATTCTTCAGTATATCATATAGGTTTAGTAACTGTAGGTATTTTTAAGTATAGTAATATTATTTACTATTCCATTTTTACATACTAATAAATTTTTTTCATTAACTTTTAGACCTATAGGAAAATTATTATATTGAATATTTATAGCAAACTTTATTTTACTAACTTGATTAGGTTCTAAACCTATAGAAAACCCTTATATATTAATTAGTATAATTTCTAGTTTATTTTATTTTTTTATTTTTTATTTATCATTCCAGTAATAGGAAAATTAGAAAATTATTTATTTTTTCAAAAAATAAGTGTATAATTGAATCACACTTTGAATGTTTTCAACTAATCACAAAGATATAGGAACTTTATATACAATTTTTGGAGCATTTTCTGGAATGATATGAACTGCTTTAAGTATGTTAATTAGAATAGAACTTTCAGTACCAGGAAGAGTAATAGGAGATGATCATTTATATAATGTCATAGTTACAGCTCATGCTTTTCTAATGATATTTTTTTAGTTATGCCAGTTATATTAGGAGGTTATGGAAATTGATTTGTACCTATATATATAGGAGCACCAGATATGGCTTTTCCTAGATTAAATAATTTAAGTTTTTGATTACTTCCTCCAGCACTAATTTTACTTTTGACTTCATTTTTAGTAGAACAAGGAGCAGGAACAGGTTGAACTGTTTATCCCCCATTATCTAAACCTTTAGCTCATTTAGGAGGATCTGTAGATTTAGCTATTTTTAGCCTACACTGTGCTGGGTTTTCTTCAATTGCAGGAGTAATTAATTTTATTACAACTATTTTTAACATGAGAACACCAGGTTTGACATTTGATAAACTTCCCTTATTTGTATGATCTGTATTAATAACAGCATTTTTATTACTTCTTTCTTTGCTTGTCCTAGCAGGAACAATAACTATGTTATTAACTAATAGAAATTTTAATACTACTTTTTTTGTTCCAGTTGGAGGAGGAGATCCTGTTTTATAAACACTATCCTGACAGATAACACTAACAGATCCTGTTTTATCTACACCTATGTTTTGAGCCACTGATTTTATATTTTTGTTTACTTTAGGTGGTTTAACTGGTGTAATTTTAGCCAATGGTTCATTAGATCTTTTTTTGCATGTTAGATATTATGTAGCAGCTCATTTTCACCATGTTTTATCATTAGGTGCAGTATTTGCTATGTTTGGACGATTTTATTTTTAATTTGGAAAAATTTCTGGATTTACTATTAATGACCCCTTTGGTAAGATTCACTTTTGAATTACTTTTATAGGAGTAAATTTAACCTTTTTCCCTAAACATTTCTTAGGATTAGCAGGAATGCCAAGAAGATATGCAGATTTTCCAGATAGCTTGTTTACCTGAAATGCTATTAGCTCACTAGGTTCAATCGTCTCTATAATAGGAGTAGTATGATTTATCTATGTAATTTTTGATGATTTTTATTCAGAAGAAAGATTTATTTCTTGAAATAATTTAGATGTAAAAACAAATACTTTAGAATGATCATTGAATTGTCCACCTAATCATCATACTTTTAATGAATTACTTTTTATAAACCATTCAACTCATTAAAAACAGGGAAATAGAAAAAACTCTTTGGTTTTCTTCTCCTCTAAAAGAGGATCACCCCCCCCCCTCAAAGTGAGGGGGTTCTACAATGTGTTTCCAGCTTTAGAGCTTGACAGTGCTCAAAGTTGCAAGAAGAAGCAGCCAAAACTCATAGTAAATATGTTAATCATTTGTTGCTTATAAATGTGTTTGATTGTGTTCCAAAAAGTACTAGGTTATATATATACCTCTATGATAATTGTAAAAAAGATTTACACATTATTTTAAACAATAAAAAAAAAAAAGGTAACTTACATTTATATTTTGTTTTTATTGCAAGAAAATAATAAGCTATAAATATATTTTAAAATTTACTAATAAAAGCCCAACAAATAAGATTAATTTTACATTTGTGAAGAAATAAAGTTGAACATAATTTTTATCAAATTTTTAGTTGTTTTGAAAAAACTTTATATAAAAAAAAACCTCTTTAATTTGTAACTGTAAAGTCAGTTTTTGAGTTATAAAATAAATGATAGAAAATTTTAGAAAGGCCATAAAATATACAATACACTTAACTAAAAATTTTTTTTTTTTAAGAACATCACTTTTTTGACTTTTGTCATAGCCTGGCCCATTGTGCCATGCCTAATAGCAAATACAAACACTCTAATCCTAACAGCTACCTCAAATAAACACTCACACTGAAGAATCTATTACAAGCAAACACTCGCACCAAAGAATCTATTACAAACAAACATTAAAGAATTTATTGCAAACAAACACTCACACCGAAGAATCTATTACAAGCAAACACTCACACTGAAGAATTTATTATAAACAAACTCTCACACTGTATAGTCTATTACAAGCAAACACTCACACCGAAGAATCTATTACAAGCAAAGATCCATTGAATAAGTTATACTTTGGGCACAATGTTATGTAGATATGTAGATAAAAACTCATAAACAGAATCAAAACAACTTACTCTAGATTTTGTTGCTTTTAATTCAGTTTGTAACTTCTGTATAATTTCATTACCCTTAAAATTAGAGAGAAATATAAAAATTTGTTAAAAAACATGATATTCATAAATAAATTTGTTAAAAAACTCAATAATCAAAAATTAAACTTTATTCAGAAAAAATATACCTTCATAACTTCTTTGGATACAGATTGTATTGTGGCATCAAGCTGCAAAACTGCATTCGATTTTTCTTCTAAATCAATTTCCAATCGACGCTAAATGAAGTCTATAGTATGTACTCTAAAATGAAGTCTATAGTATGTTCTAGGAGATTTCAGAAAGTTAAAAAACCTGAACTCCTTAGTTTCTTATATTTTCTATATTTTTGAATAAGTTTTTGTTTTTTTTTAAGTCTTGAAGCATTACTTAGTTTGTTTGGTGTTATTTAGATTGCTTGCTACTGTGTTATTTAGAATGATTGTAAATGATTTCAAACTCATTTTCTTTTTTCACTCATCAAATCAAATTATTATAACTTTTTTTCTTTTTGATTTTTTTGCTTCTTCAGAAAATATCTCCCCATCCAATCATGAGAATCATAAAACTCAAATACCAGGAAGATTTGAAGTATTTTAGTACATCACCATCTAAATTCTAACAAACACTTTTATATTGAGAATAACTTAAATTATTGAGATTAACTTAAATTATTGAGACTAACTTGGATTATAAAGGTGGGGTGTTAGCTATATATTTTTACAGTGTTTTTGTGATATTTAAAATATTTATTGTTACTGTTCTACAAAATAGTAAAATTGAATTTTGGGAATTCCATGGCAAATGCAGTGCCATTGGGCAGGCTAATACCCTCTGAGGCTAATTTGGATGTCAAAATGTTACATCATCATTGAATTTAAAAAACCATTTGAAAAAAACAGGCAACAAACTTATGATTAGTTTGATGTCATAATTGAAAAAAATTAGACAAAAAAGTCTGGGGTTCTTCCCAGACTTTTTTTGTCTAATTTTTTTCAGGGTTAGGGTTGTAGTTGTGCAGAAGCTGCAGTTATAGAAAGAAAAACATTTTGGCAAAAAAAGAATAGCTCTAATATTCCAAAGTTTGAAGTTAGAAGTCCATAGATAACTAAAAACAAGTTCAACCAGTTCTTTTTTATCATATATCTTTTTTTTGCATTATTAGTTCTAACTATAAATGACTTACAAATATTCAGAGAATTTATGGTAGCCTTTTTAGCATCACCCCCTCATCCCCCAATAACTTCTTTTATATAAAGCTTACTAAGATTATTTTAAGAATTATTAAGAATATTTTAATTATAAATAACTTTAATGCAGTAGTAGATTAATGAAAGAATGCTTGGTTCTCAATCCAAATGTTCAAGGTTTAAAGCCACCCGATGCCTCTAAAAGTGTTACTCAAACTGTTTTTACGCTTAACAGTAAAAAACTCATAATTTCTTAAATGTCAAACTTGAACTTCAAGCAATGATCTGTGGTTTTATTCACATCTTTTAATTAAGCTTTATAGTCTAAAATTTATTTTTTGCTTTATAAATAAAAAAAATAAAAAATAAAATTACATTTTTGATGCTTACATATATACATATATACATATACATACATACATACATACATACATATATACATATACATATATATATATATATATATATATATATATATATGTATATATATATATATATATATATATATATATATATATATATATATATATATATATATATATATATATATAAATATATATATATATATATATATATATATATATATATATGTGTATATATATATATATATATATATATATATATATATATATATATATATATATATATATATATATATATATATATATATATATATATATATATATATGTATATATATATATATATATATATATATATATATATATATATATATATATATATATATATATATATATATTAAATAAAAACCTTTTGTTCAGCAGATGTTTCATTCAACTCATTTGTTCTTTTGACAACCTGAATAACAGAGTCTAAATATTTTAAACTAGATCCTAAAAATTAAAAGGAAAAAAAAAAATACAGTAAAAAAGTAACTCACTTGGTCTTTATCTTTTAGTTCTTGTTCTAAAACTGCAACTCTTGTTCGAAGGTGATTCAATGTTTTATCTCTTTCATGTCTCTCAGAATCTAGGGCTGTATTTTGTCGTCGAATATATTGAAGATCTTTAGTTGTTACTCGCTTTTCCTAATAATAACACAATTGAATTTTTTCATGGTGTAAACTCCTGAAACCAACAAATATGTTGTTAAATCTCCTTAATATTTGAAAAAATTACCTCCTCAAGATTTGTTAACTTTGTTTTTAAATCTCTAATTAATGATTCATACTTGTACTTTTGGTCTGTCAGCTCCTATAAAATATATTTAGAGTAATTTTTTATTTTAATTAGCAAAATAATAATTGAATAAATATTACATGTTTTTTGTAAGCACTAAATTTTTTCACTTTGTAATTTCATAAAAAAAACTAAAATTATAAAGCATTTCATGAATTAACTTTACTGTGAAGTATTTTATGTAATGTAATATCTTAAATTTAAATATATTTAATTTATTTATCTTATTTTATTGTTTAAAAAAAATATTTATTGAAACTGGTCATTCTGTGAAATGCCTGAACATTTCAGACATTATATGTAATAAAAAGAATTAAAAAAATTAAATAAAAAGCTCAATTCAAAACTCTAATGTATGTGAATAATATACTTCGCTGCACTTGAAATGCTCACATAATTACTGCTTCCGTTAAAAGTCTGCAACATAAACAATAAATCATAACAAGCATAAAAAGCTAAAAACAGATTAAAATTTGGGCACAGATCATTAATTTTTTTTAAACATCCATGGTTCTACACTTGAGTTGTTTGGATGAATTTCCAAGATGCCATTTTCTTTTTTAAATAAATAAATATGAAAGAAGAAAAGCATTTAACTTTTAAATATCTTGAGGATTGAAAATCAAATATCCTGAAGATTGAAAATCAAATATCTTGAGGATTGAAAATCAAATATCTTGAGGATTAAAAAACAAATATCTTGAGGATTGAAAACTTATTTTTAGAGTTTGGATTGAAAACTTATTTTTAAAGTTTGCACATGATCATTAACTTTGGATGTATTTATCAACTTAATATTATTTAAAGAAAATTTTTTATTTGTATTATGTCTTGATGTATACATAATAAACAAACAATATATTTTTGTTTTCAGATTTATGTTGAAAATATAGTTTAAAAATATTGCAGAAGACTTGTGATATCTACCCCTGAAGCACCAGGATGATGTTAAAGACTCAAAAGTATCTTTTAGCTACTTCCTTTACCTTCACAAAGAAAATAAGTTAACAAATAGAGAGGCATCAACTGCAGTAAATAATAAAATTGCAGAATTTGAGGCTAAAGCTTGAATTCCAATGGGTCAAAAGAACAAAATAATCAAAGAGAAATGTGTTTTTTTTTTAGCTTTTCAAGAAAGATCATGGTTGAAAACTTTTTCTAAATCCAAGTTGCTAAAGAAAATTAAAAACAGAAAATCTTCAAAGATCTGAAAAATCTGTTTAATGTTGCTAGTTTAATGTGCATATACAAATGAAGTCCAGACATTCATTTTTATGCTTTTGGAGAAATGCACCAAGCAAGAAGGGTGGTTGGGGTGCCAAGCAAGAAGAATTTACTCTTTAAAGATTTGAGTGTTTCATAGCTAGTTGAAATTGCTTAAAAAATGGTCTCTGTAAGATCTGTCTGCATTGTCAGCATTTACCTGAAGTCTTGAATAAAAAAATCATTTTTTATATATGCACCTGCAAATGATCACAGACCTCTTCAGTTGTTACAGTAACTACAAAAGAATTGTATGCACCTGCAAATGATCACAGACCTCTTCAGTTGTTACAGTAACTACAAAAGAATTGTAGCTACAGCATTGACCAATTTGTCAAATCATATAAGGTACCTCTTTAAGGAGGTAATTGCTTTGGTTTGCTTTGACCAAAAAAATAATAGATGACATAAAAAGAAAAATAGTGGTCTTATTCAGCAAAGATAGATACCAAAAGGCATCTAAATGTACAAACAGAGATGACTGTGTCAACAAGTATTTGGCTGACTTTGTTTTAATAAACAAATTTTTTTTTAAAAAAAGTAAAATATATATAAGAAGTTTCTTGATAAAAAACTCAAACACGATCAATAGGGATCAATAGGGTATCAGTCAGCTAAAACATTAGCAAAAAATCACTAATTATAGTGCAAGAAGTTATTGTTATTTAAGAATATTATTAACTCATGACAGGTAATGAAGGACAACTTCAGTAACTTTTGCAGGTTGTATCTGAAAAAAGACATGTCTTCCCAATTTCAGTGAACAAAAAAAATTGAGTAAACACAGTGTGATCTATATACTATAATCATTATGATAATTATATAATTTTGTCATGGCGCAGTGGTTAAAGCTTGTTTTAAAAGCTAGAGATCCAGGAAATTTTGGTAAGAAAGGAGGTGTGAACTTCCTAGTTAAATCCTCTTCTGTGGTGCTCAAGACTATTAGGTCTCTGTGACAAGACTGTTAGGTCTCTGTGACAAGACTGTTAGGTCTCTGTGACAAGACTGTTAGGTCTTCTTAAGAAAACAAACTTCCTAAAAACAAAAAAACAAAAAAAAAATACTTCCTAAAAACAAAACTAAAAAAAAATGAAAAAAAAAAAAAAACTTTAAACATAAATTATACCTAAAATTTTTTATATGGATGATTTTTTTTACAACAAAGGAACATATTTAAGACCATATAAGACCAGCTTCTGATATATTTTCAAAAATCAGTTTAGAACCACCCTACCAAACTAGTGCAATATGAACTTTTAAATATCAGTAATTACATAAAATGCTTTAAAATTTTAATATATTGAAATTTAAGTCAGCCATTAATGTTTATGAAACTTAAATCAGCCATTGTTTATGAACTTTTATTCAATCAAATACCTTATTAGACCTCTGATAATCTTCTATCTTTTTCTCATATTCATTTAACTAAAAAATACATTTCTCATTCATTCATTCAACTAAAAAATTTCATGAAAAAATATTTTTATATTCATTCAGCAAAAAAACTTCTCATAATAAAAAATTAAAACTCTTTTTAAAAAAATATTGAATTCAGTTGCTTTTGGAATAGTCAAAGAAGAACTCTTAGTTTGTTTTCTAAAATTAAGTTTGCGCAAAATGTTATTAGCAAAGGAAAAAATACAAAAGACTTTTAATTTTCTTTAACTTATACATCAAGGGCAGAGGCAAAAACAAGTTATGTGCATCAGGAATGGAGGTAAAAACAAGTTGTGTATGTCAGGGATGGAAAACTAAGTACAAATAATTACTGTTTTACGATATTGTTCACCAAGTGTTTCACGTTCTGATTGCCTTTTTTCCTCAAGCATTAAATGCAACTAAATGCAAAGAAAAACCTATATAGAATATAGCAGATATAAATTATTTATAAAACTAGAGAAGTATACAAAATATATAACTTAAAACTTTTCAGATTATGGTGTTGAGTGTGTGATTCATTTTTTTACCTTTCTGTAATTTTCTTTCTCTATACAAAGTTCTTTGCTAAGTGAAGAGGTAGCCTCTTCTAATTTGATATTTGTTTCTTTTCTTAAATCGTCAATCTCCTTAGATTGTTCATTTATTATCTAAAAAAAACCATTTTATGACCACATTGAGATTTCAAGATGTTGACAAGAATGTAAAACATATAATGTATGTGTAAAATATACCTTTTGAGTAGAAAGTAAATGTCGAGAAAGATCATTTTCAGTACATGCTAGCTTGTTTTGCAACAATGCATTTTCACCCTATTATAAACACTTTTGGTGACAATAAAAAATTGACAAAGAAACTTTGCCAGCAAAACAACATTTAGCAAAAAAATCTTTAACAAAAAACAAAATAACAACACAACTTTTGTTAACAATAACAATCATCATCATCATCATCATCATCATCATCATCATCATCATCATCATCATCATCATCATCATCATCATCATCATCATCATCATCATCATCATCATCATCATCATCATCATCATCATCATCATCATCATCATCATCATCATCATCATCATCATCATCATCATCATCATCATCATCATCAAAATAATCACCATCAAAATGAATAACAATAATAAATGTTTTAAGCTAAAAAATTAATTACTCTTGAAAAGTTGTAATATGATCAGGTAAATGGATAATGTAATAAGATCATAAAAGGATAATGTCTTCTAGAAGGCCATCAGAGATAAAAAAAAACTGAAAATTTCTGTTAAATAACCATACCAATTATATATCCGATAGGCTGGTATTGATGTCTGTGTTACATTGTTTCCTGCGTAAGATGATAAAACTAGATCTTTATAACTCAACACATAAATTACAGGTTAAAGCATAAGTAGCAATGATGTTCTTCTGACGGGATAAACTAGTCATTAGTGCTGATTCTCTTCGAAGCACCAGCTGTGACTCTGAAGATGAGTTTATTACTTAAACACTACACAAATTACATTTATGGCATTTTTAGCACATAAACATTTATGGTATTTTTTCATTCTTAGGCCTTACATTGTTGTATGTATTTTTTTTATTTAGCATTCACTGTTCTATATTGTATATTTTTGTGTGGAGATATATTTGCTGTATATTTTTGTTCATTTTAAGTGATTCCAAAGAGCACAATGTTTTATTATTGTAAATATTGTTTTGGGATGACTGTTTGTCTTTTTTTTTATCACCATGTTATTTTAAAATACTTTTCTATTAATCTTTACTTAGTCTTCTTTACAACTATCAAAATATGCTTTGTTTGAAAAATATTTCTCATTTATTTAAGAGTACTTGATATTTTTCTCAGGCCTTTATATGCTATATTTATATACTATAGTTTTAATAAAATACATTTGTCAAAAAACAATTATTACCACTTAATTCTTCTCACCACTTAATTCTTCTAAATTCTTTACAAATATTCATAGTCTTAAAAGTAATTCGCTGCATCTCACCTTTTGTATAACTCACCAGATGTACTTGCCCTTTATGAGACCAGTTCAGCTGTTTCATCGTCATATCATCATCTTCAGTGTTGATGGCTATTGTTCTTGCATTCACAAAGATTCCAAATATATTTGGCCTAAGCTTATACTTTAATATCAATTCACAAATTTATTGTAAAATCAGATTTGAATCTTTCAATTATTTGTTTTTTATTAATCTCCTTTTTCCCAAGGCTACACTTTTTTCAATGTCATTTGTTTCCAGTCAAATCTACTCTACCTGCAGTTTTCTTTTTGTGCAGCTTTTTTTATTTCTAATATTAGATTACTATTATTTCAGATAGTATTTCATTCACCTTTATTACAAGAACAATTTTCTTAAAAAAAAAACTTTTTTTTATCAAAATTAATGCAAAAAGGTATTGTCTGACACCTAACATTGATTCTTGTTAACACCTAACAAAGTTGATTCTTGTTAAACACCTAACTAGGTATTTAACAAGAATCAACTGAAACTTGATTCCTTGCCTGCTGGAAAATGGTAATTTTTTAGTATTAATTTTAAAAATCTCTCAAAAAATGCTCAGACCTCTTTAGCTATTGTTCAACTTTCTAACTAATATTCTACAAACTTCTAACCATTCTTCGATCAGTTATATTACAATCTTTAGTAATGCCTTTTTACCATTAAGAAACTTCTAATATCTTATCTTGAGACTCTTACAATGAAAATAAATGACCAATCAGTTGATTGGTTATATATTTGTTTAAATGACCAACCAGCTCTTGAACAATCTCTGTTCTTTAACTTTCTTTTAACATTCTAAAACTCTGAACTAAAATAGTGCTTGGTTTGTTGAACTAAAATAGTGCTTAGTTTGTTGAACTAAAATAGTGCTTGGTTTGTTGAACTAAAATAGTGCTTGGTTTGTTGAACTAAAATAGTGCTTGGTTTGTTGAAAAATTGTTACAAAAAAACAAAAACAATAAAAACAACCATTAAAAATTTTCACAAATATATTTTACCTTAAGTTTTTTTAAACAATCAACTAAATACGCTTTTAACTCTTCATTTTTTGCAGGTAGGAACTTTAATGACAGATGAACTAAATGTTTAAATGGATTAGTTTCTACAACTTCTAGGCAACTTTGTGAGATAGTAGATGATATTCCAATAGATAAATGTAATGAAAATCTAAAATAAAAAAGCAATTTATCAGCTAAAAAAAAAATCTTAAAACTACTTTTAATTTTAATTGTAAGCGTAGAATTATTTACCATAACTCAGTAAAAAGATTACCAGGCAATTTTAATCACATAATATCAATTATTTTATGGTAAGTTTTGATTTTTTTTGTAGAAAAAATCACATTTTACAAAAATAAACTTTTTTCACATAGCTTAAATAAACATTGAACATAAAAATATTAGAGTATATAAGTTTGCAGTGATCTCCTTTATAGAAAAATGTTACACTTTATATAAAACAGCTTCATTTAGCATTAAAAAGACACTTTGTGGTAAAGTTGTAAAGTTTCAAAATGTCAATTTAATAATATTATTGTTTGTTAAAACATAAAATTTTTTTATAGCTAATCAATTTTTAGAAACATTTTTTATAGCCAGTCAATTTTTAGAAACATTTTTTATAGCCAGTCAATTTTTAGAAACATTTTTTATAGCCAGTCAATTTTTAGAAACATTTTTTATAGCCAGTCAATTTTTAGAAACATTTTTTAAAGCCAGTCAATTTTTAGAAACACTTTTTATAGCCGATCAACTTTTAGAAACATTTTTTATAGCCAGTCAATTTTTAGAAATTCTTTTTATAGCCAATAAATGGGTTTTTACCTAAAATTATATGTCATAATAAAAAGATATCTTATTAAACTTGATATATATATATATATATATATATATATATATATATATATATATATATATATATATATAATATATATATATATATATATATATATTACTTTTTTATCTATAGTAATTCGTATTGATTCCATATTGTATTTCTATGATATCCCAAGACATGACCTTTTTTATTTCTAATTATAATTTTTGCAGGCACCAGTATTTTGTAATTCTCTTAATTTTTTCCTGATTTATTTAACTTATAGCTTTTCAATTCTTAGCACTGATTTTGAGCTTTTTAACTATTAATTTTATTTTCTAGTAATTCCCGACTTGAATAGTGGTTGCCAACTTTAATAATAGTAAAAAAAAAAAAGTAACACAAAATTAACATAAAGCAAAACCAAATTGAATTTAGCTAAAATTACAAATAATCAATTTGAGTCTTGCCTGGACATTTATCTGACCATAAAGACATTTGTTAAAGATATGTTTGTAAATCAACTGTTTAGAACTAAATAATGCTGTAAAATTATCAAACAACCATTTTGTATGTGATTTTCATTTAAATAACTCTAGTACATGAAATTTTTAACTGAAGTTGATAAGAAAATCTTATCTAAAAAAAAAATTTGAAAAAACTATAAATGAATAAAGAAAAATTATAATAAGAAACAAAAAATTCTTGAATCATAGAAATACAATATAGAATCAATACTAATTAATAAATCAATATAGATCAAGGAGTAATCAAATAATTCAAAAAATAAGACAACTTTTTTAATTTTATTTAAAAACATTTTTTTATTTTAATTCAAGACATATTTTGATATATAGTCATCATCAGTTAAAATATATATGTCAAAAATGTTATAAAATATGGTATATGATAGTGAAACTAAACATAATAAAAGTCATAAAATTGATAACAAACTTCTTATATATACAAAAAAAAACAACCTTAAATTATTTTAAATAGTAAGAGTCATTTTAACATGATTTATTTGTTTATTCTAGTTTTTCCAACCCTATATTAATACTTTTTTTAAATTTTAATTCAATTTTATTATTGGCACAATAATAAATTTGAATCTAAAATCAATAGTCAACTAAATTACCTTGGCAACGAATTACTTTGTTCAGCAATACACAATTCAAGTAAATCAATAAACTTCTTTGGAAATGAATTAAAATCAATCAACAAACCTTGCTCATTTTTTAAACTGTAAAAAAAAAATTAATAATAATGATAATAAAAAAGAAAATATAATTTTACTTACAATAAATTTTACATAAAAATGCTAAATGCTAACATTTTAAACTTTTATTTTATTATTTTTATTTGCCTTTAACAAAAAAAAAATACTGCAGAATAGTTTTATTACAAATATATTTGGCAGGACTTCCAAAAGATGATGCAATCTTATCATGAAGCCCTTTACAATATCAAATATAGTAATAATAAAAATTTTGAAAATAAACCAATAAAAATAAATCAACATAAACTATATATAACTGAGCATATAAAATATAAATATACTGCATAAAATATATAAAACAAAAGAACTAAAAACAAGAAAAAATATATTCTGTTGAAAAGACAACTTTTTTTAACTTCTGTTTGAAAGAAGTAAAAGTCCATTCCAAAGACAGATCAAAGTTAGGCAAAACTATTGTATTCCAATAGGAAATAAATAGCTGTTCAAATATAGTTTTTCAGAAAAGTTCTTGGAGATTTTTTCATTACAAAGGTTGTATTTGTTTATGGGTTTTACATTATAAATGTTTATAAATACATCAGGAGAAAAATGATTTTTACATTTTAACATAAAGCATAAAACATTATAAACATTTAGTTTGTATACATTTAAGGCTTTCATTTCTCTCACAAGTGGTTTTGAATTTAAAAAAAAAATTTACAAAATTAATCGAGCTGCGTGTTTCTGATGCTGATAGTGAGATTTAAGTTTAGTTAATAAACAAATTGACAGTTAATAAACAAATAATATAGTTGATTTAATTATTATATAAACATATGTCTGGCTTTATATATAGTTCCAATACTTTTAGAAACTTTCATGGAGATGTTACCAATTTCTTCTTTCCAGGATAGGTTTTCATCAGCAAGAACTCTAAAAAGATTGGTATTTTTTTCCTCTTTTAGTATTCCATTATCAAAAAAGAGTTTTAACCTTTTTAATAAAATACAGTGATCGACAGTATCAAAAGCATTAGACAAATTGATGAATACTCCTAGTGTATAATATGAATTTCTAAAAGAATCAGAAATTCTGCACGAGTATGGCAGTTACTATGTTAAAATAATAAATATAAACATTTTCTAGTTGCTAAGTATAAAAGTATAGTGAAATTTGGTAGCGCTCGCTTTATAAGCAAGAAGTTCTGAGTTCGATCCCCACCACTACCCTGCTAGTACCTTGTTCAACTTGTTTCTCAGCCCAGCAGCCTTGTTCATCAAGATCCCTATTTCGGAAATATAAAGTTGAGCAAGGATTGTAACCACAACTAAAAGTAGCCTCCTCAATTGTAGTGGCCTTCACAGCCCTGAGGTGGTGAATTAGTATTAAAAAAATACATATATTCTAAAAAGTATGGTGGTCAGCATATATTTACAAAAGTAGAAGGCATGTTTAAGGCATATGCAATAAAACCATCTAAGTTTGGCTTTCCTGTCAACAATTTAATGATTTGAATAAAAGGGTATTTAGACAAAAAAGGTGTTGTTACACCTTGGTAAAAAAAAAATTTTCAAGGTGACAACTGGATTTGAACTTTTATAAAAAGAAATTCATAGTTTTTACCTATACTTTATTTACTGTATACAAGAACTTTGTTACTAAATGTTTTTTTATTACTTTATTTTTGTTAATTTATTTTCTTTGCCTAAACATTGTTGTTTTTATTGACGTAATGCTTCCTTTAGTCCCTTTTTACTTGGTTTGGCCAAAAAAAAAACCCAACACAAGGGGACATTTTGGCAACATTTGAACCCCCCA